CTCCACATAACATGTCTGTCTCCATCCTCTTTGTCTGCACTGCTACACATGTGCCGTGACGCAGGGTACAAAAAGCTTATTTAGTGGGAATTGCCAAGTCATTTGCTGATTTTTGCACCTGCTTCAGCTTGGCCATTACTCCACATAACATGTCTGTCTCCATCCTCTTTGTCTGCACTGCTACACATGTGCCGTGACGCAGGGTACGAAAAGCTTATTTAGTGGGAATTGCCACGTCATTTGCTGACTTCTGCACCTGCTTCAGCTGGGTCATTACTCCACATAACATGTCTGTCTCCATCCTCTTTGTCTGCACTGCTACACATGTGCCGTGACGCAGGGTACGTACAAAAAGCTTATTTACTGGGAATTGCCACGTCATTTGCTGATTTTTGCACCTGCTTCAGCTTGGTCATTACTCCACATAGCATGTCTGTCTCCATCCTCTTTGTCTGCACTGCTACACATGTGCCGTGACGCAGGGTACAAAAAGCTTACTTAGTGGGAATTGCCACGTCATTTGCTGATTTTTGCACCTGCTTCAGCTTGGACATTACTCCACATAACATGTCTGTCTCCATCCTCTTTGTCTGCACTGCTACTAATGTGCCGTGACGCACTGGTAGGACAAAAGTTGCGCTTGTTGAGCTTCCCACAGTGAACATGTTTGGCTTCTTCTTCTGCACACCCTTTCCCCGTAGAATCCTAGCATGGAGCTTTGTCGAACCCCGGTCGCATTTCCACCCTCCAAACGCTTTAAAATCTTATATATTTAAAAGAGGGTGATAATTGACCGTCCCACACCTGCCACACAAAACGGACTTGAAAATGCGATCCGCGGTTGACCGACATGGATGTCTTGTAAAGCTTTCAAGAAGCATAAACTTTGTTCCTCCTGAAGTATAACCTTGTACCACTAGTGATATATCACTGATATCACTGAGTTTACCCTCATCACTAGTTATATTTAATTTAGTTTCAATGTTTCATAAGTTCAAGTATCTGATGGACATTCTATTTAATAAAAATGAATATCACTTCAATGAGCATGTAACGTTAATGGAAATTATTATATTAGCATCTCTACTGGGGATACATATATGTTTCTATGAAACAAATATCATCTACTGGAATATTAGTGATGCATTATTAGATGTCATATACAGTATTTTCTACTATTATCATATTTTCTAGATTATCATATTAGATGGAATATTTTTTTTTAAAAAAAAAATAATATCCCAATATGTTCTACTATTTTATTAGATGGATATGTTTCTATGAAAAAGCAATACGTTCAGTAGAAATATCTCAAATTAGTTTTATATGCTATGTATATTATCTACTATGTTCTACTATTATTATCCTGGCTGGTGGTTTGGAACATGTTTTATTTTCCCATATATTGGGAATAATCATCCCAACTGACTAATATTTTTCAGAGGGGTTGAAACCACCAACCAGTATCATATTTTCTAGATGGATATGTTTGACAAAACATATCTCCCCAGTTGGGTGAAGACCTTGGATGAGACCAGGAGGAGACCGTGGAAGAGCCACCCCTGGCGGCTCCTGCTCCGGCCACGGAGGCCGAACCGTGGCCCGCCGGTGGCACCCCTTGTGGCACCCGGTGAACTGGTGGTTTGATTAATCAGTTTTTGCTGGTCATATAGTCTAAGTGATGAATCTATTTTACATATAATAAATACATATATATATATATACACATAATAATACATATATATATATATAGAGTTGTATATATATATATGATAATTGTGATGCTAATAATGATGATTAATAGATGATAATCTATAATAGTATTGATATATATATAGATGACCAAGGTGAGTTGTCCCAGTTCAAACTGGAAGAACCATAGGACCCATTGGCGCCAGGAGAAGAAACGAAGTGGTGCCCTGGCGAGATTCCAGGTGGGGCTGGGTTGAGACGTACAAAATTCATCAAAACTCAGGTTCCAAAACAACGGGTTATTACTAGAAGAACCTAGGATTTATGTTAGATAGAAATATAGTTATGGGTAATGTTGGGTAGACATATAGTTATCTATAATTAATATTACGTAATATGGTTGAAAAGCCAACAAACCTAATTGTGGGAATGGTTACCCTCTGGGTAAAGTTTTAAAGTTACAGTGCTATGGACAATCACCATGAGAGATGGATTGGTCATTCTTATGTTTCATCCCATCCATTTGATCCAGCACGTGTGGCGCAGAAGAAGGGGAAAGGCAAGGGCGGAAGCAAAGGCTGATCGCGGGCAACGCGCGACGCGCGACGCGTACATTATTGGCCTCCAAAGCAATGATGAGCAGCTGGAAAGGTGGCAGACAACATGGAACGCACAGATCCTCACTGACAATGCAGATGTGAGCGCTGTAAAACCCAGGTTGGTTGATGATAAAGAGGGGTTTTATATACTATCAAAACATACTGGGGATTTTCAGAATCTGCTCCAGGAATCCCTATGAGATTGGAAAAGTTCATCAACTGAGTTTCAAGTCTCAACTAATCAAGAAGTGCTTCACAAACATGGACAAGCAAAGAGCCAAATCTATACCTGCCCTTGTCCGCGATCGGGAAAAAGGGCTGCACAGCATCCATTAGCATTTGCCTCCGAGCGTTGATATGAAACTCAGCAACACAAGACCTGCGCATGTTGGAAGTCCGTTTGGTTCATAGCTTTCTTTGCCCAAGGGAAAGGTAGTTTGGACCAGCGAGTTTGGCATAGGCTCAACACTGTCAAGCTACCAGGATGCCAGTTGCAACACTGCATTTCTTTAGACAATGTTCAGTGATGTCCAGTGAGAGATACATGGAGATGTTGCAAATAAGAGAGAGGATCAAGGGATGCTCGATTTGCCTCACAACTGGTCATTACATCCCATGTTTTAGTCACCACGGATGACCAGATGCCATGGATGTAGAAGTGGAGATTCAGTCTGACGATGGAGGTCTATTGGGTTTGGTGCCAGATAGTTGGCCTCCAGGCCCGGTGAGAATCGCTGCCGTGCTTCCTGACAGCCAGGCCGCAAAGCATCAGTGACTTGCGCGCCTGGCGAAATGTGACGTGCTGATTTTGCTTGCCCACAAAAAAAGATGTGATGTTTCCTTGATGTCATTGAGATTCATTGAGTATACATACATGTTTGGAAAATAGTGTAAAGAGATGTGCTTGTTTATCTCTGGTGTTTTTTGTTGTCGTTGAGCATTTGAAGGATCTGCTTTGTTGTTGAAACATGCTTGAACACAGCTCATAACCTCATAACCTTGGCTGTGTATAATCCAAAACCGGTGAAGATCATTGGTTACTGCATTGCTTATCTACACACCCCCAGGATTGAAGGTTGGATCATTGGCATCCCAATCCCCCTGGCACCCTTTGAATCCCCAGAAACCATGCTGGATGTAGGGGATATTTCTCCCTGGTCAGATGGTCATCAACCATCATCAACCGGTGATCAGCAACCTTTAACCCAATGCAGAATATACATAGATCCTTATACGTTTTCATATACAAATATATATATATATATATAATCTATATATATATACATGATACATGATATGAGAATACAGTTGTTTCTGCTATCATTACAATATGATACAATATGTATGATTCATGACATCTCATGAATCATCACAACATCCACCCGATTCCCCGGCTCGCTGCGCGTTTCGCTAAGGTTACGCGTGGGCGACGAGCTGCGCTGCATCAATGGCACCTCGGTGGCGGCGCTGGAGCATCGAAGCATGGCCTTGGAACTGGCGAAGAGACCCTTGACGCTGCAGATTCACCGGCCTAGCTCCAAAAGTGTCGCATGGCGAGTTGGCGTTTGGTTATGACTAACATAGCCTCTGGTTTCTCATAGGAAAATGGTGATTTAATGGTTAACAATGGTGAATAATGGGATGATAATGGGATATACCCTCTGGTTATGACATTCACAGTTTGCCATGGTATAGATGGCCCATAGAAATAGATGGTTTACCGTTCTTAAAAATGGTGATTTTCCATGGCTATGTTAAATAACCAGATGGTAAATGAAGATGATACTGGTAAACTATAATCATCTATAATCTATAGGATCTATAGGTGTGCCTGAAGAATGGTGATGATAATGGGGATAATAAGGAATAATGGGGATGAATACTGGTGGTATTATGGGCAAAATGAATAAACATGATAGATGTACTGGGCTGGGATGGCATGTGATGTGGGATTCCAGGGGATATTTTACGGCTGGCTACTAGTTTTTTTTAGAACTGAGAAGTTGTAAAACAATGTTGTTTTTTTTACCATCAGAATCCAAGCCCTGAATATAGTGGTACAGTGAAGATACAATGGATGATATAATGAGATTTGGGTGTGATTAACTCCCCCAAATGCTTACTTTCACTGGGGATAATTATGATAAGTTAGCAAATTGTTTGATCCTCTAGTTTCAGACAAACCCAGATGGACCATGGATGCAATTGTGAAAGATTGGGATGGACGTGATTCAGAAAGTGGCTGACTGGATACATACGGCCGTACCTGTATGTGTTTACATTGTACTATTGTACCTATCAATAATGTAAAGCAACAAGTACCAGGACCCTCGAAGGGGTCTCTAATAGGCACCCCTTAGCTAGGGTCACCATTAGGCACCCCTTAGAATTTAAGATTTTTTTCTCCTGAATTGGGCCTATCTTTGGGGGAATTGCATATCCATCCATATCGTGATTAGAAGTAGCACACCTCCCATTCCCTCTGGTGTTGCGCCAACTCGCACCAGCCACGAGCCATCTCCGCAGCCTGATGCGGCTGGAGGGGCCAGCAGCAGTGGCAAGATGCGTTGCAGGAGTCCAGACCCCCCAAGGGACCATCATCAAAACCATATTCACCATTTCAGTTTGGGATATCCCTTGAGAATAAAGTGGGGTCGCTATTTTATGGGAAAAAACATCCGAACAACTTTTGGATCTTCGGCCACTTGCGGTGTGCAGCCATGGGGAATGCTACTGCACTCAATGAGGATGGGAAGATGCTTCTCTGAATCTTAGATGTTTCCATTACCTTCACAAACAGTCTGAGGAATTGATGCATGAACTGTTTTTGTTGATGTTGTTATCCAAGGGCGATATACCGAGCAATGTTATCCAGATTGCCATCCCAAACAACTATGGATGATGATATCGTCCCAGGGGGTGATATCAGACAACGGGGGAATGTGTGGCTGCGGTCTGCATTTAAAGCATCTGCCCTTTCAAAGGTCCCTAGGGAGAACCAGTTTCGTTTGGCTGTGGGGAAAATCATGGCCAAGAAAAAAATTGGAAACTTGCCATTTTAATTCATTTTGTTTGTTGGTTCATCTTTGGCAGGAGTTCCCAAAACAAATGTGTTTTTTTCTGTTGGTGTTGCTGCAAGAATCATCCTAGGACTACATGTCCAGGAGGAAGAGCGCAATGAATGGATCCGTCAGCAGGTGGACTAACATAATTATGCATTTGATTGTCAAACTACCATCAAAAATTGGAAAAAAACATCAACCCTGAACCCAAGGCTTGGCTATGCCACGATGTACTCCTCAAGCACCAAAAGGCTAAGCGAAAAGGTGTACTATTCACAACGCCTTTACCTTCAAAAAAATCTGGGTTTCTTGGTAAATAAAATTACGCCTTATGTCAACTCAACCAGTACAAGGGAAATAATTTGGTTTTGACCTCAGGTCTTCCATTGACCAAGCGGAGACCCTACCCTTGGAGTTGGATATGGATGTTGGTGATGAAGTACCTCATTTTGATGAAACAGATTTGTTCCTTAGCTTATTTGGCTCTTAAAACCCCATAATCCTTCATGGTTAATTTTCTATGCAATGTCCTGAGGAAACAGCATGGTGATACTTCGGTAGCTGCAGATGGTCATCTGCATGAAGCTTCGGAGTCAGAGATCACGACCGACGATGAGGATTTTGGGGTGTCATTTCAAAATGGGGATCTTAAAATGAGGTGACCTCTTGTGGTCGTGCCAATATTCTTCAAGATTGTGAAAAAATCAGGAGATGGGGGCCAAACATAACGAATGTGAACCTTCGGTTTTAATGTATTTCCCCTCCTGCCAGGTGAGGGTTGTTAGATTTTATCAGGGTTGTTCTTCTCCTTCTCCTCCTCCTCCTTCTTCTCCTTCTCCTCCTCCCCCTCCTTCTCCTCCACCACCTCTGCCTTCACTTCCATGTCCACTTCCGCCTTGCCAACTCTTCGCCAAGCTCTCGCCAACTTCCGCACGCAGTGGCCACTGCTGGACCTCAACTGCAAGGGTCTGAGTGCACTGGGCACCGCTGGACCTCAACCTGGGACCTTCCGAGCTTAGTGAGCACCGCTGGACCTCAACCTGGGACCCTCCGAGCTCACTAAGCACCGCTGGACCTCAACCTGGGACCCTCCGAGCTCAGTGAGCACCGCTGGACCTCAACGGCCAGATAGAATGCCAGAAGATTTGCCAGATAGCATGTCAGATAGAATCGGATAGAATGCCAGAAGATATGCCAGATAAAGTGCCAGAATGTCTGCCAGATAGAACGCCAGAAGATATGCCAGATAGAATGCCAGAAGGTATGCCAGATAGAATGTCAGATAGAATGCCAGAAGGTATGCCAAATAAAG